AAACTCAATTGCCCACAACCCCTCCCCGCAGCCGGCCGGCCCTGATCAGGGTTGGCTGGCCAGCCAACCTTCCGCCATCTCCTCCTCCCGACAGGCCCAGCCCTGATCCGCCCCCATTGAGGCCGGACCAAGTGGACCCACCTGTGCATGAATTTGTGCACTGGGCCTCTAGTTAACTATATACCCAAAGAAAGGTGATAGATAACTTTGTAATTAAGACAACAGTATGGGAGGCAGGATTGGGCAGTGTTAAAGAATTGGGACAATATAGTTGATTGTTTATATCTATATCCCAGATCTATCAGCTGTGTGGCTTTGGACAAGTTAACTAGCTGCTCTTACTAGTGGTTTTCTCACCTGTGAAGTAGAGATAATAATTTATTATTACCTACTAGAGGCCTGGTACATGGATTTGTGCACCGGTGGGTCCCTCGGCCTGGCCTGTGAGGATCAGGTCATACCTGGCTCTCCGACATCTCCTGAGGGGTCCTGGATTTCAAGAGGGCGCAGGCCAGGCCAAGGGACCCCACTGGTGCATGATCGGGGTCGGGTAGGGACTGTGGAGGGTTCCAGGGCATGTCCAGCCTGTCTCGCCCAGTCCTGATTGGCCAGACCTCAGGAACAAGCTAACCTATCGGTCAGAGCATCTGCCCCCTGGTGGTCAGTGCGTATCATAGCGACTGGTTGAATGGTCAGACACTTAGCATGTTAGGCTTTTATATATATAGATGTTAATAGCTATTTATAAGAATCAAATAGCATAATCCACATAAAGCATTTAACCAGTGCCTAGCATTTGGTAAGTACTTAAATACTTTTTTAAAAAGAAGAAAAAGTGATGTATTTGGAAAATAGAATGACTTTCATCTGATTGCAAAAAATTTTTTTTTCGATCTTTAAAATTTTTAAAAAGTCCAACAAACTATAACTTTACAGAGCATAGTTTGGGAATGTAGATCTTGAAAGATGATAACTAAGAGTTTTCACTGAAAAGGGAGATTTAGTTCATTTCCTCATTCTCTCTTTAAGGGCTCAGAAGATATTTGATAGAGTAGTTGAGCATTGATATTTGCTGTCAGCTAGGATAAGATTGTCTTGGGGATCCTGGTTCATACAAGCTAATTGGGAAAAAAGATGAAAGGAGTTAAAAGACTTTACCTTATTGCTTACTTCCTTATTTTACCTCACAATCTGGTTATGCAAAACAATGTTATTCTGTTACCACAGTTATTTTATCATCATTTTCACTGTTTAGAAGGCCAAAGAAGAAATACAGTGAAGACATATCCTGCTGTAGAGAGTTTCTGAACCACTTTCCCTCTTTCTTAATTTTTTATTCCACATGTTAGAGTTTTCACCATATTATTATCTGATTGTAAAAATAACATTTATTCATAAGATTTTATACTAAATGAAGGGAGAGATCGCTAATAGTCCCAACTGATTTATTAACTAATGGCATATTTTATTTCAAGCTATTCCCCATTTATAATTATACTAAAGGCCCAATGCACGAAATTCATGAAAGGGACTCGGCTTCTGGTGCCGCGGTGGCTGCCTCGGCCCCCGCCTGCCTTGGCGGCCGGGGGACTCTGCCTTGGCCCCTGCCCACTGTGGTGGCCACCTCTGCCTTGGCCCCCTCTGGAAGACGTCCAGAAGGATGTCTGGTCTAATTAGCATATTATGCTTTTATTATTGTAGATTACAATTTGTATCTTGACTGGTTTATTTTTCCTAAATAATTCACTATGTTGTAAAAGGTACTTTAAAAATAGATCCAGCCTTAGCTGATTTGGCTCAATGGATAGAGCATTGGCTTGCAACTGAGAGGTTCCAGGTTTGATTCCAGTCAAGGGCATGTATCTTGGGTGCGAGCACATCCCCCG